GATTTGATGTATAGCCTATCATTATTTGGTACTCATAGGGGTGACTATGAAAATGTAAATTTTGCGGCGGCCGCCATATTGACTTTAGAATGACTTAGGGGTTCCTGTGGAAATGCTGAATAGCATTCACCATATTGGTTTGAAAATGGCGAAATTGTCACGCAAACCAAACGTGTGTTCAAAATTTGAGCTCAATTTGTTAAGGTGGACTGGTTCAAGATTCAGTTCCAAGATGTGCCCCACATATGCATACAGACTAACAAAAGGTCATGTAAAGAAATTCTACTTATAGTGATCTGGAATTTGGAAAAAGGTGTTTATGAATGCCTGGGAAGGCTAGTCAATCTCCAAGACAATCAATCCTTGTGGTTCCGACGAGTCTTCTTGCTTCCAAAAATTAAACTCGTAATCCTCCCAAAAACCCCAACACGAAGCCAGTCGAAAGCATACCCGCAAAGAATGTAACTGAATAATTACCCTCTTACCCGGAATATTTAATTTTAACAGCTAACTGTGTATAAAAATGATACCGTACATTTAAACCTGGCCCGTAATATATCGACTCTAATAAATTTTGAAGGTGCAATAAAGAATGCGGGGTCGTTTAAAAAGTCAATTTATTTAGGTGAGCATTTAACGAGGTCTCAGCCAGGAACGAGATGGGCATAATCTTGCTGCTGCTTCAAATTAAAAGTATTTCGTTAATTGGCTTTAATTTTCATCTAAAATAATTAATTGGTATGGTATGCCAGCAGCAGGGAAGATTTCGTTTTGCTGAGTGTACCGATGTGTAGACGGAATTTCGTTTTACAACTCTACAGGCTTTGAAATTGATGTTAACTTGCGAGAATATCGAGTATGATTGTTTGTCAAGTTGCAACAATTGAGATCAACTGAGAATTTTATTGAGGAAATGGTACACAACAATTTCCGAAATTTTCAGTAGGTGTGAGTTTTTCCCAATCTATGTATACAGGGTGTCCCAGAAATAACACTCCAGAGTGACACGCGAGATAGATTGGCTTCAGATCAATCGGATAAAATCAACATTACCTTTGTGAAAGTTTTCTAGATTTCGAGATATTGCCACTTTTAAGTTTTTCCAAAAAATCTCTACTTTTTGCTCCTTTTTTGCCTGTTATGGCTGTAAAGAACTTCTAAATTTTAATATTTTTTTCCTGGGCTACCGTTAATATTTGGATGAGACAACAGAATATTAATTTCATTGAAAACTAGAAGGGTATGCTAAAAAAAAACTAAATTCGTACATTTTGTTCAAATGCGAAAACCTTAACTAAACTTTGACTAATTACTGTGAAAGAATGTACCAGACTGTCAACCAGGAAATGACCTTAAAAACTAGCTATTTAATGTTCTTTTAAAAATATTATAACATTTGTAGGTTCGTTTTCCTAAAAACGGAATAATTCCAAGTTTTGTCATTAAAGTCGTAATATTGCAAAATACTACAAATAAAAAATAATATTTTTAAAAGAACATTAAATAGGCTACCTTTTAATTATTTGCCGATTCAGTCTGGTATTTTTTTTCACGGTACCCAATTAGTCAAACTTTAGTAAAGGTTTTCACATTGAAACGAAATGTAATATCTTTTTTTTAACATACCGTGCTAGCTTTCAATGAAATGAATACTTTGTTATCTCAACCGAAAAAATCATAAGTTAGAAGTTTTTTATTGCCATAACAGGCAGAAAAGGAGCAAAAAACTTGAAAGTGGCAATATCTCGAAAAATAAGTAAGGTATGTTGATTTTATCTGATTGATCTGAAGTCATTCTATCTCCCGTGTCACTTTGGCGTGTTTTACTAATTATTGAGGATGGCATCGTTTTATCCCCAAAAATATACAGGTTACTCAAAATACGCATAGTTCAAAATATCTCGTGAAATACGTTTCCTAGAGAAAAATCTTGTGGATTAAATTTGTAAGATTTGAAAAGAATCATCCATTGCTGATCTTAAACGTGACCTTGACTATGACCTTCAAGATCATTTGAAGGTCAAGACATAAACGACACCCCTACATTGGACACATGAATTATAAAGAGCGGGTAATTTTACGTTAAAGTATCTTTTCAAGTGACCTTGACCGTGATATTCATGGGTACTTGACGGTGTTCAGTAAGAACAGAAAGGATAAACTAGTTCGAAAAATACGTTTCATAAAGAAAACTGTAATGAAGTAGTAAGGTTTGAAAAGATTCCTTGAACGTGACCTTGACTATGACCTTCAAGCTCATTTGAGGTTCCTGGCTACGGTAAGATCCGGAACTTTCCATCATGCTGAAGAACAGCACTTATAATAACCTAAATCCAAATTTCTATCCATTATAGATTTTTTGTTAGGTGAAAAGTGTTCATTTGCTGGGCTATAGTGCAAAGTGCTGTTATTTGCGAAATTATATGGATCAGCTTTACACAGTTCCAAGGAAGCAGAATCAATGTTGAAACCAAAATTGCAAAATCCGGGGCACGTGTTGAGGATATCCAATTTGTACTGAGGAAGTCCATAGCACTAGTCGTAAGTCGTAAGCGAACTGTAAGCTTGACCTGCAAACCAACAAGTTCAAGTTGGTCTAATCAACAAGAAGAAACATTCTATGAGTTGATCCTTCTAAAGCAACGTGAGCAGACATTAATATTGCTTAGTTATTTTATATCACAATACCAATCAGATATCCATAATTTTGATTTTTCCTGCAGTAGCTGCTGTCGGATCTGCTCTGTGAATGGAATTGATCCAGTTCTTTGTTGTAATCCACGTATTGACCAACTATTTAACCAATTTCACATCATTATTTCTCTTCAAAGAGAAACATTTATCAGGAGGCGAATATTTTATTGATGCGTTAATGGCGCTCGAGTATTTTAATGACGTTTGAACAGGCTGGTTATTCGATTTTACAAATATTAATAGCATTTCCATAGCTCCCCATGCGCTTATTTACCACAAAACGTACGCTGCTTTTATAAAATTGCAGTAATTGCAGCTCGATTATAGAGATCGTTGTACCGGGTGGCCGCTAGGTGGCCTCAATTTCAAAAGTTCACACGTCATTATTTTGCAAAAAGTCATAATCAATATACTGATCGACCGCTCCGTTCCCGAAATTTTTTGTTTGTCATTTTCTCATATTTTGGTTAGTTTATGGTGGGTAGGGGTTTAATGCCGTTTTAGAAAAACTCACGTAACTTCTGTTTGGCTTCACAGATTTTGATGTCTTGGGTCTGAGAATATGAAGAATATTGACCTGCGCTCCTATCAGATTAGTTCAGCTTGTGGCCGCTAGATGGCGCTTCGAAAATTTCAAATGAAACGATATATTTTTTTATTAATAGGAAAGTGCATAAAAGGTCAAAAAACGGTGATAACTGCAGGTCAATGTCATAATTTCTTATGAAGATATATTAAGAAATATATATTGAAGATATTTTACATTAAGATTCATTTAGTTTATTGCGGAACTACGACTATTTTCAAAGTTATATAAACTTAGTGATTTCATTTATAGATCACCTGACTTGACTTGCCAAGATTTTTATTTATGGGGCAGTATTAAAAATATTGTTTATAGAATACGGCCAGGATATGATTGGTCGCAAACCTAGGAGCAACGAGTCAAGTCGCTGACAGAGCGATAGTCTCATATAATTTTGTGTTGCAGACTTTGACGGAGTACATCTGTTTTTATTAAGCCTAATAAAGCCCAACGTACCTTCTTCATACCAAATTTGATTACATACTTACGTTAGCTGTCTAAGGGAAGGGTGGATATGGTAGTCCGTGATGGGAGCAAAAAGCGCAGTCCATGTCCGAGACTCAACAATATGACCGGATTTTTCAGTCATTCCTCAATCTGATCAATTCTAGCCAAGGGTGATAACACATCGAACCTTGCCAAAACATACTCGTATTGTATTTTGTTTTGTCGCTATGTTTAGGTTAAGCTGGCGCTCATAGATGTACTAACATGCAAGAAAGACAAATAGGACAAAGATTTTCATACATTTTTGCCTGCGAAAATCCTGATAAAATATTCTTGAACGTAAGCATAAAGAACAGCAGAGAGGGGCTAAACATTCAAATTCATTTAGTGGAAAATAGAAGACAAATGGCTCCGACCGTAACGGTGGTTTGTCTTTTGTCTGATTGTGCTCCTAAATTAGTTTTTGATGTAAATGACATCCTTGATACGATTTTGCGCCAAACATTTCGTGGAATTTATGAGTGCTTCTGCATAATGAATTTTGTTTGCCAACACACGATCCTCTCTCTGGTGATGCAATCCGTAACATATCAAGGTGGCAGATTCATCATTGTCAATATTTGTCTTTTTCGTGGATTTGGCCTTCTAATGGCATTCCGACTAATCTGTGACACCTCACCGGTCACGTCGAAGGGCCAGCGATGGTTAGCCCTCTTCTACCAAAAATTCCACAATAATAAAGTAATGGAATAGATTGACCAAGCCTATATCTTTACATTGTACAGTTGGTCGCCAAAATGGCGTAGTTTTAGTGCATACTTTCGATTCATTTGACTACCTATACCTAAAAAAGTGACAGCATTGTATCAATATGATAACATGTGAAATTGTCTATCACACCACCACTATCTGCAAACACTCGCACTTTTAAAAAACATCACTAAAAATACGAATTTAATGATAGAACTGTCAACAAATTAACTTATGTCAAAAGCACTTGAACCTCACTGCAGACTATGAGAATTAGGAGTCAAACAAATCCTTGACTGGCTCTTTTCACCTAGTCTGACCTCGTTGATTGTCAACTGCTACTGATCGTACTGGCTACTGGCCATATACAGTAAGGTGCCCTTGAAGTGTATGAAATGACATTTGAGGACAACGACAGACCCCATGTCAAAAGGTAGATGTGATAACGTCACAAGGACATTAGGATTTACTGACACATTCGACTCGGGACGATGTCCGAAAACAGAAGCAGAATTTCTGTCGAATGAATAACGATCAATTCTATATAGTAAGAGGGCTGCTGGCACTTCAAACAAAATGACCTGAAACGACACCAAATATGTCTACATGATGGAGGACTCAACGGCAGGTAAGGCTACGGTTACTATAAATGCAAATTCTGACAAAATTTTGTTATGACTAGTTCTGACTAATTTGTCCAAATATCAGAAACAGAATATACAATATGTCATCAGAGCCATTCGAGCATTCAGTAGATTTTGATTTTTACATACGACGTGCGTCTTTTTGCGTATTTACTTTGTTACCTCACCATGGACAACAACAAATTTATAACTCTTTTGAACCTGAACAATTTACTGTGGGAGATGAGATATGAGACACAAAAAATTCAATATTAACCTTTCAATTTCTCCTTTGTCATTTCTACTAGAAAATACAAGATTGACATGTTTTGTTGATCCACCATTTAACAACATTAAAGGAGTTTAAGGAAGTAAAATTCAACTTCATCCATATTTGCGGGGCGATAGAAACATAAACCCTATTTCACGAGTATCTATTTCGTTTTGACGTCTACTGAGGTGAACAGCTAATTAGCAAGTGACATCTTGGCATTAGTCTGTAACGTTAGCAATAATGAATCTGGTGTAAATCTGGTAAAACTCAGCTCCGTATTCAGAGCTGCTGTTCACATATCCTGACCGGGAATTTTGACAATAAAATATACGAAGTATCCAAAGAATAATGTTTATTAGAATATTATTATAGTACATCAGGGATTTATTGGAGACGAGGTTACGCAATGGAACAGCGTGTGTTGTCCTTTCCAGTAGCCGTTATTTTACATGTAAAAAAAATATATGAAAACTCGGGAAAAATACAATACCGACAACCAAAATGTCAAACACCGCGCACAGTGTAAGCGCCTTGTACTGACCAGGATCTCGGACGTAATCGTCAGAACTGAATTTCGTCAGAATTTGCATCAATATTAACCAAAGCCTAAAAGGAAGAGAGTTGCCCTTTCATATCCTCTGCGAATATGTAAGCGCTAAATGCGCTCAATATCCACTGTCACAGAGATAGTCAAAAAGAGAGCATGAGGATATCTATAATTGATATGCCATCACTTTAACAGATAATTATGCCCTGCCTATAACGCAATGCTTCATGCACACCAAGCAGTGCCTCTAATTATTTTGAACTTTAATCAGTGTCAATTAATGACGGCCGACGACGTTAGGTTTCTTATTCAGTTAAAGAATCTTCGTTCGTTCTAAATGAGCGTTAATTGATGCTGCCTTATTGTCTGGGTGTTGCTCGTTAATCGATTCTCGGTAGCAACAATATTTGTCTTTGAATACGCTGTCAACTTGCGGGAAAATAGAGAAAATAGGAAGCAAAAATGAATACCGTGGGATATATATTAATTGAACAATGTTTTTCGTGCTTTGATATAATGGATAGGTGTACTGAGATGTAAAGAATCTTTTGCCTCGGGTCATAGAGTGTCTGAAGCGGTATCAGGTGACAATAACTTCGCATATCCCTTTTTTTCAGCGTCCTGTCTGGAGGAGTATTCTTAATATACTAAGTGACATATAAATCCGAACACCCAGTTTAAATGGTTTTATTTTAATAAAAGTTGGTGAATGTATTTATCTTACTGTAAATAACAAGTGAAAAAATTTTCAGCAGTTGGACATTCCGGTTTTTATACTGCTTTTTTTAATTCACTAACGCTCTAAAAATGAATATTTCAGCCGCAGTAAAGAATCAACGTTGGCGGATTTTGGTTCTTGATATCCTTTACGATCGGTTACGATGCCTAGAGTACGGGGACCTGTACTATTTCGTCAACTTAGTGAGTTTGATAGGAGCCGTATAGTGGGACTTCGGGAAGCTGGACTTTTTTTTCGGGCAATTGCAGTTAGAGTGCAAAGAAGTGTAGACACTGTGGTTAGATGTTGTCAGGCATGGCTTCGAGAAGGCCGTACGCAAAGAGCAAGGGGCACTGGACGCCGCCGTAGAACAACAGACCGTGAAGATCGCCGCCTAAGATTATTGGCCTTAAGGGACCGTTTCTCCGCTACCAGGTCCATTGCAAATGAATGGTTTGCAGAACACGGAAGACCTATTGGCATGCGAAGTGTTTACCGACGAATGAGAAGTTTTGGCTTTTTTTCATACCGGCCACACTGGGTCCTCCCTTTAACTCGAGAATACCGACGTAATCGCCTTGAGTGGTGCAGACAACGGTCACTCTGGGATCAGGAATGGAACAGTATTGTCTTCAGTGACGAGTCTCGATTTTGTTTAGGCATGCACGATGGTCGTGCCAGGGTTAGAAGGCGACGTGGTGAAAGGAGGAATCCACAGTTTTTTGTTGAAAGACATGTTCATCACACTGTTGTAGTTATGGTTTGGGGTGCTATAGCTTATTGTTCCAGGTCACCTTTAATCTTCATCAGAGGTAACATGAACGCGCAGCGTTATATCCACGAAGTTCTAGAACCCCATCTTTTACCCTATCTTGACACCCTGGCAGATCCAACTTTCCAACAAGATAATGCCCGACCACATGTTGCAAGAGTCACAATAGACTTCTTTCAACATAATGATGTCACATTGTTACCATGGCCACCAAGATCTCCCGACTTATCCCCAATTGAGCACGTGTGGAATATGATGGGTAGGAGATTGCTCAATTTGCAACGTCCTCCTCAGACTCTAGAAGCACTTCGAGAGGAGTTGGTGGTTGCCTGGAATGAGATGTCACAGGAGGACATTGACCACCTAATCAGAAGCATGCCTAGGCGCGTTGGAGAATGCGTAGCACATCAGGGTGCATCCACACATTATTAAAGGTCAAAGGGCTTTAAAGCAGTGCAATCATTTTGAAATTTTTATCATTTACTTATTATGCTTCATTAAGTACTTATACAAAATTTTATTAAAATAAAACCATTTAAACTGGGTGTTCGGATTTATATGTCACTTAGTATACATATGTATACGCTTCTTACTGGGAGACTATGCTGCTCTCTACACGGTGATTCGTAACTACACGGCAACACATACATTTTTCAAATACAATAACCATTATATTTACATAGTATTTTCTGAAAAACTTCGTCAAAGAAAAAAGCTTGATATAACATACTATAGAGTTTGGATCGCTACTTGTGGAACTATGGGTTATTTTGTAGAAAAAAAACACTCAAATTTGACAGTTGTACATTTTTGCAGATAGGGTAGCAGCCTCTTCGCCTAGATAAACTTCGAATCCTACAGTTTCTTGTTAATTAAATGTTTGTTTAAAATTTCGGCAAGGCGCTTTATTAACATCCTCTATATTTAACCGCTCCTCTTAAGAAGTGAAGATATCCCATACTAGTTGGAGAAAATACTGCTTGCAATAACTTTTTTTTGTTCTAGTGGTACCAATGTGACCTTAATGGGCTCCCATCATCACTAACATCAACATTCGTCCAATTGGGTCCAGACCAAGACACTATAGCCTTTTTGGAGCAGTCGGAGAGAAAATCCGATTGGATTTTAACGCAGATATGGCACTCTATCGTTAAGGCTATCCTAGGGTTTTTCATGACACAAACTTCTATTAATGGGTGAGTTTATATGTTTCTTGGTTTCGATGTCTTTTGTTATTCCTTTATTTGGTGATATGATGAAACCTTTTGGGCCACCAGAGCCAGTGTTTTGCAAGGTTCGATTCTCGGACTAACCATATAATCACTTCTCATGCATTGCACCCCAACATCTGCGAAATGTATCTTTATGATAATGAAACTTGTCTAGTGACGCAAACGTGACGGCCGAAGGTGACTACTGCCACATAGTATGCCAAAGCAGATCCATCAGATCTATACGAGGTATGTTTAGAAAATAGTGTCAATTTTTAAATTTCGCCGGTTTGGAGAGTCCGACTGCCATTTTTTATTATGTTGTGTCCTACGTGGCGGTGAAGACGTTGATGATAACGAACCGATGAACACATGGAAAAAGTGAAAGAAATTGCAATGAAATATCACCGAATCACAATCAAATAAATCACTGATGAGGTGGCATATCGATTGGCTCATGCGTTGAAATTTTTTAGAATTACTTGTTCAAAAATTGTTGAATTTTGAACAACAGCGGAGAATGGAAGTTGATCAGTAGTCAATAAATGAATGCAGACTTACTGAAACGTATTACAACAGATAACGAAACATGGATTTACGGACATCACGGCGAAACTAAGACCCAGTTGTCTCAGTGGAGGCATTCTAGCTCTCCAAGACCGAAAAAGGCTCGTCAAGTGCAATTAAACGTAAAAGTTATGCTCATTTTGATCCTGGGGATGGGGCTTAATCGTCGAAAGTCGAAGTATGTTGATCGATGAACCCCTGATAATCCACGCCGAAAGTCGTAATAAATCGTTGCATGAAAATTTTCACGAGTTAATTCCATGTTTCACTGACACGCATTTTTCAAATCACTATCAACACAAATAAAAATAATAATAATAATAATAATAATAATAATAATAATGACTTTATTCAAAAGATGATCATAGTATGGCGAAGTTTAGCCATGGCTACTCTACCACTTAACCATACTACAACCAGACATTACAAAACATTAGCATAACAACATGAATCACTAGCTGTAAGGAATGCATTAAAAAGGTAAATATATAATATGAACATATACAAAGAAAAGAAACAAAAGAACAAGATATCGTTCAGCAAAATGAATTTATCACTCAATGTGCTGAGTAAAGAAAGTGCAACTTGACTGTCTTCTTGAAGCGCTGCAAACTTAAGTTCTTAGAGATAGCTGACAAAGAATTGTATACCTTGACCGCATTATAAGTAATGGACCTTTCAAAGACCGACGTACGATGTATAGGAATGGAAAGTAGATCATTGTGCCGCAGATTTAGAGTAATTTGGTTTCCACGAGGAATCAACTTACAGAGCAAATAGACGGGTTTACCAGTTTTAAAAATTCTATGCACCAATGAAGCCATAGAGTAGTTGTAATAAGTTATAAGCCGTCAACTCTGAGCCACTGTAACTCCTTGAGTTTTGAAGAAACGCTACTGTACTTCCTAAGCCCAAATATGAATCTGCAACAGTTGTTCTGAAGCTTCTGCAATTTTGACTTGCAAGCTGAGTCTAGGCATGGGTAAATGAGGACTAGAGAGTAAGCTAAAATTGATAATATGAGGCTTTCACACAACTTTTTACGGCGCTTAAAGTTTAGAATATGGCGACTAGAATATAAAAGCTTCATCTTCATATAACTCGACTTCATAATATTATTCACATGTAAGTTAAATCGAAGATTTGAATCAAATATAACACCTAGATTCTTAGCATTATCACAAAATGGAATATCTATGTCGTTGATAAACAAAGAGACTCGATTTATGATGTTGTAATTTGAATGTCTAGGACAGTATGGTATCGCGGTGCATTTTGATGGATTGATGCGGAGACAGTGTCTATTGCAATACGTTAATACGTTATCAAGATCTAGGTTAATTTTATAGGATGCTTCATGTAAGTTGGATTCATTGAAACGAAATGTTAGCTGTGTATCGTCAGCATACATTTGAATGCAACAATGTTCTACACACTCATGCAGATCGAATGTGCATACTAGGAATAAAAGAGGTCCCAGTACTGAACCCTGTGGAACTGCTGATGACAGATACTGTGCATCAGAAGTTCCTCTAGATGTTTTCACTCTTTGGGTGCGATCAATTAGGTACGATCTGAAGAAATTCAAAGGAACTTCCGACATGCCATAATATTTTAGCTTACTCAAAAGAATCTCATGATTGACCGTATCGAAAGCCTTGGAAAAATCAAGCATGACCAACAGCGTGCCGGATTTGTTGTCAAGGTTGGAAAGTATCTCATCTGCAAGATGTAGTAGTGCAGTAGTCGTACTGTGACCTTCACGAAAACCAGATTGGTGTACTGGAAAGAAATTATTATTAGCAAAATACTCAACAAGCTGTTCGTATACTATCTTCTCCAAGACTTTCGACAAGAAACATAAACCACTTATAGGTCTAAGATCGGCATGTTCAGACGGATTCTTACTTTTGGCTAGAGGTGTGACTATTGCCTCCTTCCATTTGGATGGGAAAACGCCCCTCTCTAAGCAAATATTAATAATATGCGTGATGTGATCAAGTATTTCAGGCAGGCATAAGCCTAGCATATTTAGAGTGATGCCGTCACAACCCGCTGCTTCAGACTTGATAGACAAGACTGCATTCATAACTTTACGAGGGGTTACCAGACGAAAGTGAAATGATGACACGTCGGGATCGAAGCGTCTGTTGCTATAGCTGTTGACAGTGGATTGTACTACTTTGAGGTTTTGATCGGCAGGCATAAAAGTACTTAAAAAGTATTCGTTGACTTCACGGGGATCTATCAGATTAAACGGTACATCAACACGTTTCTGTTGACAGACATTCATAGATCTAAGTGTTTTCCATGCTGATCGTGTACTAATATCACCATATCTAGAAAGGTAGGCCCTCTTCTCCCTACGAAAGGAAGCAAGTGCGTAATTCCGCATATCTTTGTACGTAGACCAGTTCACATCAGATGGGTCATGACGGAAATTCAAGAGAGCTTGGTCGCGTATCCATGGAGCAGCCGGTTTTGTTACACGAGCAGTTCGTAATGGCGCGTGCATATCATATATTTGTATTATGCAACTAGATAGACAGCTTACTTTGTCATCAACATCCATAAAGTAAAAGATACGATCAAGTCCAGCATGAAGTAAGTCGCCCTTGAAATTAATAACATCAATATTTTTTATATCTCTAAAAGCTACTAACTTGGGTTCAAATTTAGGAAGCTTCAGAGCAACAGCACAGAAAACTAACTTGTGGTCGGACACAAGATCAGCATTAAGAACTCCTGATTTTACAACACTGTTTGAATTGCTAGAAAAAATGGGGTCTATTAGAGTTGAGCTAAACTGAGTTACACGAGTCGGTTCATTTATTAATTGATCAAAATTGAAGCTGTCGAAGCAGTTGCTCAAAGGATTGTCAGGATTCAAAAGGTCAACATTTATGTCATCAAGAATTATTATATTATCAAATTGAGGTACGAAGAAAGAAAGCATATCATCAATTGTATCAATGCTATCTGTAATTGAAGTATGAGGAGGGCGATACACGACGACAATAAGTAGGGTAGAGTTGCCCATGCTGAGTTTGCAGCATAGCAATTCTAAGGAAGAGTCACCTACAAAATCAAGAGTATCAATAACGGTAATGTTGAAATTATTTCTAATATAGAAGCCAACCCCTCCTCCCCTACCCAAACGATCTCTACGGAAAAGCTGGTAGCCTTCTATAGATACAGCTTGACTAGAAATGTTTTCATTAAGCCACGTTTCGGTAATGCATATAATATCTAATTTGTTTTGAACCAATCCACAAAAACAGTCGAAAGCAGTAGTCAAGGACCGCACATTGAGATGACAAATATTTAAAACTTTGTTATTAAGCCTAGCCATAGTCAATTCTAGATTTTAATTCAGCATATTTCTTTAAAAAACATGGACATTGTCTGTCTGATGCAGCATGATCGACTGAATATGGCTTAAAATCTCTAGAATGACTTTTCATATAATTATTATATACACAGCAATTCACACATTTCTTACTAACAGAGTTACAATCTTTCTCATCATGGTCATTAAAACATAGCGAGCACACAGACTTATTTTTTCAATCTTTTTTCACATGACCGAATCGAGAGCAGCTAAAGCACCTAATTACTGAAATATGGTCACGGACAAAACACTTTTTCCAAGAGGTATACAAAAAGCCACGAGTAATTATGGTTTTCCTCACATCAGGATCAACCTCTACTATATAACTTAACGAATATTTTAACTTTAGAACAGATGTCACCTTTATATCACAATCGTGTCCAAATGGCAAAACCGCAGAGACTAGAGAAGTCAAGCCTGTCGCCAAGGATGGTGTGGATAGTGGGCGCAAAGCATCCGCGCATTGAAAATTGTTATCATAATCAGCCGCAATATGTGAATTTCACTCACTGGTTACCATGCTTAATAGGCTTATTACTTCATGGTTCATTAATATTTTCCAATATTTCTGCTTGCAACTCGTCCGAACTGACAAAATTGGAGAAGCTTACAATCTTGATGGCAGCAACAGAGACAGATGCCACATGCGTAGAACCTGAAAGTCATTTTCTGCGCAGTGTACACATGAGAGAAGTGCTTTGTGCGCAGTACCTGAAATTCATTTGGTGCGCAGTGTACCAACTCACTTCATCGTCAACATTTTTATCTCACATCCACCAATAAGTTTAACTTCCTATATCTAGTCTTCATGGTAAAAAGTTCTGAAGAAGGTTGCGTTTAAAAATGTCAAACTTTTATTTGAAAACGTCAGATGTAGCCTAAGCACTCTTAGTGTTGCCGAGAATATTAATAGTGACCCTCGTAATATTAAGCACACGAAAGCGTTCTTTTGTTCCGATACATAATTTTTTTATAGGCACATTGCTACTGACGAATAGGTCATTGGACATGTGTACGTAATTTGTGCCTTC